CATATTTACTATGATATAATGAAACACAACTCCTAACGTTGAAAATGAAAGTTTTAGATAAGTAGGTAATTTTTTTACCTGAAAATTTACAAAAGGGTGTTGGATTCTCAAGTGTCTCCAATAGACTAACTGAACTGCAGTATAATCCATACCGATCAATAGCTGTTACGATTAGTACTATGACTATAGATATGAATGTATAAAATGAACATAAGATTACAATGCACTTTACCCAATACAATCATGCCTATGACTTGAAAAAATACCAATACAGAAGGATATACCAGCCTGCAATAGTGTAAATTTATGATGAATATATACTTCATTATAGTCACTAACGATTTTTTATATTCCTTAACAGCAGCTATAATTGTAATAACACAAAAAATTAAGCCCATACTGGTTGCAACTACTTCTGAATGGATTATTATCAGCGTGTCTAAATGAGAAGTTTGTTCAAAACTGTCACATCTTGGCTCACAGATTAAATCCATTTTAACAAAATCTTCTCTACAAACAATATCATCAGTACTATTGGTATTATTCATGCCTTCAATTGGAATTGTGACCAGAATATGAGTCATTGGCAGCTATATAAAGTATAAATATTAGTAATATACGATTATCATCATACCATTTGGTAGTGTAGTACAGTCAGGTAAGAGTGAGCCATACCCAAAGTTGTTTGCTAGTGTCCACAGGTCTGAACAAACACCTGTACTTATGAGGAAGCAGTCTTCCTTGGTAGCCTTGTAAGATTTTCCAGTTGAGCAATCAGCAAGAGGAAAGAAATATTGACATATGAAAGCTGATGATTGCTGTTGACATTGCTTGTAATGCTCTACAAATAGTATCTAAATAAAAATTACTTATAATGCCGTGGCATTACCTAAATAAGTATTGAGTGATGTGATTGTCTGTTCATGTTGATTTTGTTCTTGTTGACTTACTCCAATATTCAATTCACCCTCTCCAATGGTACATTGAAACCATTGATGTAAGAAGTTTCTACAAGCAGTTCCAGTATACTCATGACATTCTGAAGCATCATTATCCTGACTCCATGATATTCTAGTACAGTTCTGACTTACATTATTGTTGCCGATTGTACCTCCTTCACTAAGATTACCATTGTTATTGATGTCTGACTCAAATGTGTTCTAAATTAAAAAGTTTATTTAAGCCGGACTTATAAACATTTCATGCTTAGTAGGTGCCTACTCATCATAGTTCACATAGCTTGTAATAACTGTTAAATAGACCCATTACTCTACATTATACCATATATGTTAAATTGATGTGTGAGCAATTTTAAGAATCAAAGATGTCAGTAGAACAGTCAAAATTATATTTCTGCTTTTTGTGACATTACACTAAGATTTCTGAGCTATACTGGTATAGTCAGTCTACTACTATACCTCATCTGGCATTGTATTTTCAGATTGCTTAAAGGAATTTATTACTGTAATCAGACAATTAGAAATGGTATGATTGTGAAGATATAAAGTTTAACTACTAATTACTTTAAATCACAAACATATGACACAAATGAGTGAGCACAATGCATGCAAATGTTTTTCTTAAGATAACCCAAGACATCTTGTGATATCACAATTAGTATATAATAAATCTAGACCACTACTTACTGAAGTAGATCTATAGTAGACTATTATTGGAACTGTGAATAAGCCCAGCACCACAACAAGAAGAACAATGAAGAAAACATTCTCAATCTTCCTAGCAATGACCAGCTCTTTCTTCTTCCCTGTACTGCACATTTTGTGTTGTGTAGCTAGACTAACTAATGATATTCATAACTTGTGTTAGTCCCTCCCTAAAATTTTTTTTCATTTTTACCCAAATTATAATTATTATCTATTGCATATAAATTATTAATAATAAACTCCAGGAAGTCAATTATAATCTTTATTAATAGACTATGCACATTGATGTGTATATAGATCTAGAGAAATTGTAACTGATTTAAAAGTGACTTCATTTACTAAGAAAGTTTTAATACAAAAAAAAACAATCACATAAGTGCACACAGAAGTTAAAGGTTCAAATTATCAACAATTAAAGTTACACAGTAGTGTTTTTGGTAATCTTTGTACTTTTATCTGATTTGGATGATAACTGATCAGAAACATTTTCAGAGGAAGTTACCAAGGAACTTTTTCATGATACAAGAAACTTAAATACTTCTTTGTCAAATTAATAACTTTATTTTTTGCAGTTTTAACTGAGCTCCACTTAAGTATGAAGTTCAAAATGCTCAATGGTATCAAACTCATTAGTATATATGCAATAACACTTGTGTATGGGCTAAAAATCGTATCAAATGTTCCTCTGTCACATTTTCCAGGGATGTGACCAAATGCCTCACATTCAAAGTATTCTCTTAAAGCTGCTTGAAATTTAGCAGATTTTGCTGTTATGTCACTTACATGCCCTAAAATAAAAGCACCAAAAATTATATAAGATGTAAAAACCAAGAGGATTTTTTTCTCTGCAGTGCTAAGCTTAGTATGACTTTTCTTGTTCAAGAAATTTGTTTTCTGTTAAAAAATAATATTGCTAAAGTCAGTATTTTAGTGCACATACTTTTCTCATAGTCCAGAGAATCATAATCAACATTATAACTCCAGCAACAAATAGTACATCCATTGGAAGTGTTGTAGAGTAGAACCACATGTCACCATTGCTGATGCAAAGAGTTGTTGGAAAACGATGAATATTGTATTTGAATTTGTCAACAGTAAGGCAAATAATAACAGCTGGCAATGGAAGTAGTATAGCTTTATTAAGGAAAAGAATTATTGTAAAATTAATGACTACAATAATATACTCACACAGAATGGTCACAGTTGCAAATATGTACTTGTTACGGCCCAGCTTTTCAAATCTATTTGCTTGAAATGGAAAAAATACCTTGTGAAAAAACATGGCAACATGAAAGAACCACCACAGTGCCATATTTACTATGATATAATGAAACACAACTCCTAACGTTGAAAATGAAAGTTTTAGATAAGTAGGTAATTTTTTTACCTGAAAATTACAAAAGGGTGT